CGAGTATGGCAGACCCTTATGTCTACCGCAAGACCGCGAGGCAGTCATACCGCCCCCGGAACGTGCGTTCTTCAGCTCTACGCGATCGGACGGAGTGCTTGAGCTCTCCCTTCTTCTAGTTGATGTCACCGGGCCTACAGCGCGCGCGAGAACCTTTCCGCCTGCGCAATGCCATAACGGGTGTCGTCCTGGCGGGGTTTGCGGTCGGCGTATGGGCGTATTCCATCGGGGCGGTGAAACAGGACGTCTTCGACGACGTGGACGAAGAAGCGCGCGCCATGATGGCCGGATCGAGCGTTCCAAAGGCAGAGGACAATATTGTGGAGAGCAGCCAGGCTACACATACGCAAGGGACGGCGATAGCACTACCTACACAACGTTCGACTTCAAGCTCTATTGCAACGACCGCACGGCCAGAAACGAAATCCGGTACGGGCACGTCGCAGCGCGGGATCCTCCCTCCCCTTCTCGCACAACGCTTCCCGAGCCTATTGGACCCTTCTTCGAAGACGTTGATTTGGGGTGCGCCGTCAGTGGATAATGTTGGGAAGTTGAGGGATCCTGCACCCGGTAACAAACGGGTTATCTAGCCTTCTGGGCGTCGACCTATTGTCGAAAAGTAATCACACACCCCTCTATCTCTTATGTGTATATGTAGCATTGTAATCATACTAATACATTTCACCGACGTAGACTCGTGCAAGGACATAGATCAGCGCGACGAGATGGAGTTCTAGCAAGCAATCAACCAGCATAGCGAAACACAAGCGTACGACAATATAAACCAAGCATGCGCGGCCACCTTCCCGTTTGCGGGAGCCCTTCTCTCTGTATCCTAGGTATGAAAATCCTCCCCAACAAACCCTGGCACCATGCCTGCACACCTGTGCGGGATGACCGGCTACGCTTGCCGCGGACATCCAGCGCGAGTCTGGAGACAAGGTGCTGGAGCTCAGACAGGGAATTGACCCTCCAACTGCCTACAATCGCCCATCTACTATCAGCACTCAACGTGCGTGTACATCGCCTGAGGGACGTAAGTGCACTCACGGGACGGGAATCCCCAGTTTGACGAGGCCCTCTTTGGCGGCCTCGTTTCGCGCAGCCTTCTTCGTGCTCCCGCGGCCGTGCCCGAGACACTCGCCCTCGACCATCGCACGCACAACCCAGATCGGCGTCGTCTTCGTGCCCTGGCCAGCGCTGTCCGCGTACACCCATTCGATGCTCTTGCACCGCTGCTGCAGGTGCTGGTTGAAGAGCGACAGGTGCCCGATGCTTGCAGGCATCCGCGGCGGGGGCGGGATCGACCACGTCTGCGACAGCTGGCCCGGCGCGCCGGTTCCACTGGGAGGGGGGGTGTTGGAGGTGTCGCTCCTGGCGTAATGCACTGGCGGGGAAGGGTAAGGTGGCTCTGGGGAGAGCCCATGCTGCACCCGTACGACACGATAGGCGATGGCGAGGAATGGGCGGAGAAGGACGTCGAGCCAAGCCTTGACGGCCTCGAGTCCTTGGTCGAGATAGAGACCTCCAACGAACGACTGGCCATAGCTGCAGTCGGCGTAACTACATTACAGCGTGCGAGCTTACCTCGAAGAGATCAGCTAGAAAGTGGTCAGCGTTACAGAATGCGCCGCCAGTGGACGTAGCATCGCTCACCTTGAATGTTGGCGGAAGCTCTCAGGGTTATGGCCTGGGCGGGGTGCATACGCAGGCGCTCTGGCAAGCGGTATTTGACGGAGCTGTATGCGACAATTATTCATCTCGTCATGGTTGTGAAAGCTCATCCCTTACATCCAGGCAAGGGTAGGATTGCCGACCACCAAGGCTCGAATTTTCTACCGTCCAACCCGTCAGAGATTTGTCCGCTAAGATCGTCACTTCGCACTTACCGTAGACGGGCCTACCCGCAGGCACGGGTATACTTCCCTCAAGAGACCCGTGACGATCAAGCTCAGGACGGTGTCGCCCAGGTGCTCCAGCCTGTGCAGAACATCCCTGAGCACCCGAGACGCGGAAGCAAAGCCACTTGTGCAGGACATACGACTCATTGTCGGGGCTAGGGTCATCAGGCATGTCCTCAAAGACATGCGTCGGCCGCGCGTAGAAGCTTCGATGGGTAAAAACTTGGAGGCGAAGCGCGTCCGAGCGTATCTCCGGGAGTGGAGGTAGCCCGTCCGGAAAATCTGGTCTAGTGCGCGGGGACGCTCGTGAGCTCGCCATCGCGTACGGGCTGGATAGAGGGTAGCGGGCGTACGTGAGTGGAATGCGCCCGTTCGGTAGGGTGGGCCCTCGCGGTAGACCGTTCACGGCATTGAGATCGCTGTACATGGGATGACATTCGGCGCTCAGATTACGTGCACGGCGATATCATCTATTACGACACGTACTTGGACGACGGCATGCCCGCGATGCGCTCGAGATACACGGTCCTCTCAGCGAAGTGAACGAGTGCAAGGGTGGGACAGGTGGCCTAGACCATGGGAGCTATATACCATCGCAAGCGCGCCTAGGGACGAATGTTTGCGGAGCTCCATCGGACTCAGTGGGGAGTCGAGCTGAGAGACAATCTGCACCGGAAGGTTCAATCATCCTGCCAATGATGCGCACACGGCTCCGTGGCGCGTCTTCGCAGCTAAGTTTCATACAGATATTGCGATGGGCTCCTTGTATTGGTGGGCGGATTGCAGCCGGACTTGGGTGCGACATCAGCGGACAAAGGTATGACAAGGTGCGCATGGGACGGAGCTCATGGATCGCTTATTAATGGCTAGCTCGTTCGATACACGCGGTAGGAAAGAAGGATAGATACCATAAGATACACAGACTAGTACACTGCACGTGAAAACTCCCCGAGACTCCCGACTCAATCGAATGACCATGGGACTTCGTATTCAGGCGTTGGCTTCGACCGCAGGTGTGGTAGTCACCGAGGCAGACTCGTGGGCCTGCTCTTGAAGTGCCTTTTCCTTAAGCTAGACGGGCCTCTCAGCGATAATGATCGCGTTAAGATAATAAAGACGCCACCTTAGCCTCAGCCGCAGCTTTCATCTTGAAGTAGTCGACATGAAGACCGCACTCCGTCTTCTCTGCCTTCCCTGCCCACCTGCCTGCACGCTCGCCTTGATCGCCGTCGGCGCTCTTGACCGTGCTGTGCCAGTCGCCGATGCTCCGGTAGCCCTGGTCGAGTAGCTTGTTCCGGGGAACCTTGTTCTCGTCGACGTACCACTGGACAAATGGGAACGTCCAGGCGAAAAGAGGGTTGAGCTTGACCAGTCCCGTGCTGTCCACCTCTAAGGGTTGGAGGTTTGCCCGGTCTGCGCCCTGCGATGCACGACGGCCGGTGATGACCGCCTTCACCCCTAGTTCCTCATATGCTCGCCGAGCGGGCTCGACCTGTGCCAGAAGTGAGCGTACGATGGAGCATTGACCAAGGTAACACATACCTTAACCACATAGTCATATGTCGTCTCGTCCGTCTGCCAGAACTTCTGGCCATATTTATTCTCAAAGTCCTCTACGGATGCGCAACCATCGGGCTTGTAGACGTGCACCTCCCGGTTATACCGGTTCTTCACGTCCTCTACAAGCTCGTAGGTCTCGGGGAAGTGGTAGAGGGTGTCAACGAAGATCAGAGGAGGTGGATTGGAAGTAATTTTGGAGAGCATGTCGATAGCGACGAGTCCCGTAAGGCCGAACGCAGTCGTCTGGTATAAACCCGGGACGTGCTCAACGGCCCATTCGAGGATCTTCTCGGGGGTGAGGTCGCGTAGGTGGGCATTGATACGGTCGACCTCCTCCAGCGAGAGGGGAAGGCTGAGCGGTTTGTCGAAAGACGGTTTAGAGGCGGAGGAGGAGGATGGCGACATGGAACAGATCGACACGGATCAAGGTTCGGGGGTGTAGAAGGGAGGCGTTGCGGGAACAAGAGTTATTCCGGCTGCAAGCGTGCGGGTCGGCTTCAAGATGCAGGACAGCATACTCAGCATCGGGTCTATAAAGCAGGAAGGAAAAGAGGAATAGGAGTGCGAAGAGTGGTCGACACAATTTTGGCGGCATCATCACGCCCCGCGACTCCTCAAGCATGATTCAGCATACAGCGCTCGGTCATTCTCACCTGCTAACCAGCCAATTATCCTCTCGAAAATTCAAGAAAATGACAGGCGGTTCCACGAATGGCGATCCCTTGGCTGTGGCATTTGGAATACTGGAGTGAAGCACACGTTCGGAAGGAGTACAGGTTCGCACGTCTGATGTATTACAAGGCGGCACTACGTCCACTCAGGATTGAGACGTTACGATACCAGATATCTTACTGCGGGCCGAATTCTAGATTCTCACCTCCAGGGCCTGATGACGACAACCAGAAAGCTGGAGCGTCTTCTACCTCTCACACCACCTTCAGGAAACTCAAGTTTGCAAAGTCTTCCCTTTCCGCCAACAGAGTCCGTATCGGCGCACTACGTTGGCACAACGCCTGACTACTATACCTGCGAAGAAACGGCCATTAGTACTTCACAAAGCCTGGGGTTACGAGCGTTGGAATCTGGGATCCCCCCATTCGCGTTGGCCTTCAAAGCTCGGGTTGCAAATTACTAGCGATCACTCAGCTATTGAGCACTATCTTTTGAGCGGCTTCAATGTGATAAACCTGATCAAAGGATAGGACAGCTGTTTCGTACTTGCTTGATTTCTTCTTAGCTTGGCCGAGGCGATGGGGGAAACTTTCGAGGCGAGCCTGAGACACTGACCTTTGGGTGCGTGTTAATATCTACCACTCGGCTGCTGCTGGGAAAGCGCGCAACAGCTCTTGGCCTCCGCAGGCAATGTACGAGTGTAACGGCTCGGGAAAGGGAAGATAATCGCACACCCTGGTTGGGGCACGTTTCGTCGTGGTGAAGCTCAGACTGATGGAGGGGAGAAGACCAGCGGTTGCCCGACGGTCAGTTTGGGGTGAACAACACATTTGGGTGTAGTAAAGTCTTGGTCACAAGCTTTGCAAGCCTTCGATAGCTCAGTTGGAAGAGCGTGAGACTGTAATGGAAACACCTGCTCATCTCAAGGTCACTGGTTCGATCCCGGTTCGAAGGACTCATTTTGTTAAATTTATCCCTATCACCTTTGCAGTCATCGAATCCATAATCCGGAAAATTGAACGGCTTTTCAAACCACGTAAACCATTGATATCTTGGGGTCAGAACAGACTCGGGTAGGTCGGACATGTCATAACTATTATCTAGTTCTTTCCCCCAAGTCCCGAGTCCATAAAAATAGTTATGTGTGTTCACTAAATGCCCCGGTGCACACCTACGCGCGCGAACAATCCAAAACGCAATCGGAGGTGTCACACTTATACCTATACGGCGGTTCAAGACACGGGATGACATGAAATACTCAAGATTTTTGTGATCCGACACGACCGAGACGGGTGTATTATACTATCAGTGCCATAGCTAGGCAAGCGCCTGTACAATGTTTAAGGAGGCTGGCATTTCTGGGTCTCATGTAGGCTCGCAAGCCAGCTCTCTCGTTCAACGGAAGATACTAATCGTTCCTTTCCTGCCGTGAGCTCGCCGCGGCGACATGCGGGCTCACTTCCGAACGCCACCACGCCCCTAGGCGGACACCACAACTGGGTGTCTTCCAGACCCCGAGTAGTTCTCACTGGCTCGCGAGCGGTAGCCTCAAACCCCGCGCATTTTGCAGACGGCTGTTAAAGCACTGCGTATGGTCTACCAGCAGACGTTGTATAGTAGTATACCCCGGATCCAAAAAAAAAGACAATCGTTCCTTTGTTCCTTTTTGAAGAGAGGTCTCATGGGTCTGAAAGGTGAAGTGAATTTCAAGACCTGGTGGGTTATAATTAGTCCTTCGTGAGCTTGTATAATCTGCTACCACTATTAACGATAGGCTCACAAATACTAGATACTCGACAGAGGAGGACTTCCAGTAATTAATGCTTACTAGCCGAGTTAAGAACTACTTACTTCCGGTATGCGTAACGAGTACTAACTTGACATCGTCATACACTATACGTTACATACGTACGGTGCGAATGGAATTGCACCATCGGGCCACTGGCATGGCGCAGTGGTTGAACTAATATTATCAATAGAATACAACAGTCCGGAGTAATAACTTAGTATGTCGGGGCACGTTTCTGTCACTTGCGCATCCGCTTCTTGAAACGTTCCATGACCTAATGGATATTAAGAGGACATAATCGATGAGGAGAAAGAAATTCTTACGATCTCGTCCGTGGCCATCTGTGCCCGTTCCGTCGTTCGCCGGACCTCATGATCCTCAGGGTTGAGACCCATAGCTTCCAGTTTGGCGTCCCGTAAAATGTCCGCGTCAGATTTCGCTTTGAGATTTGGACGGTAGACTACAAGAACATCAGCGAAAAGGGACGGCGCTTGAACAAAGGGGGAAAACGAACACCGTGCAGCGGCGAGGTGGGCTTCGTCATCCGCCTTCTTTTGTCGCTCCTTTCGCTGCTCTGCAATTTGACGCTTGGCCTTCTCCGTCTCCTCGATATTCTTAAGCCGAGCACTGCAGAGGTCAGATCAACACCCGGGTGAGAAGTTTCGAGAGTTGGTGAGGTGCTCACTCCATGCCGAGGTCAACCTCAGGAATCGCTGTCAACATAGCCAAGCTATTCGTCACATTCCCTTCTTCCTGTTCCTTCTTTTGGGTCGGCTGCTTGTACTTCTCTGTGATGCGGAAGACCTCCGCATACGGGTCCGCTTGTCCATCGTCTGTCTTCGACTCTTCCTTCGTGCCCCTCCTTAGCTTCATATTCTCTTCGATATATGCCATCCTGGAGAACAATCTTTCAAGGGAGGCAGAAATAATTCATGATATAACGCACATGTGCTTGTCGACATCGAGAGCGTTTGTCTGATGTGTGAAGTTGTTCTCGCGGACGACCTTCCTTGCCTTTGCCTCCGCATCCTCTATCTCGCTTGAGATGAGGTCAGCGACGAATTATTCGCAGAGAATACCTTCATGGCTCACTCGTCGTCATTGTCGTGAACGGCCCCTGGTCTCAACCCGGCTACGACCTCCTCCTCCTTTGGCCGCTTCCGTTTCTTCTTGAGTTCTCCTTTTGATAGTTTTGCCACGTCTATGCCCTCTCGAGCTTTCCTGAGCCTTCGCAGTTCAATGAGGTCCGCGATACTAATACAAAATAATATATCAGCGTCGGACATTAATTACGGGCATGGCCAGCCACACAGCAGCACCTACTCTAGCTTCTCTTCGGCTTCTTCAGGGTCGGCAAGCGTCCGCGGGTCGTCTTCTACATCCAAGGATGTTTGTCGCACTCTAGGCTGAGGGCGCGAACGTTTCTTGAACATGATAGGTGCTAACAGGTCGCGGTCGTAAACAGAGAAGGCGGAGGCACCACTTCCCCACAACACGTCCGTGATCTATGTTGCGTCACGTGCACGTCAATTACACAGCGACTTTGTAGCGGCAACCACTGCGAAATTGTGGCAAGACATGCTATAAAGTAAAGTAAGGGTGCCGCAATGTATCGGGCAACGACCCGGGAATACAAAAGAAAGGTAGAGCTACAGAGACAACCAATCCAACCAAACATGTCCGAGATATCTACCGAGACTCAACGGCGGGAGACTCGGAACTGGGGGCGAGGTTAGAGTGATCCAGAGGTGGAGGACCTGCTGCATCCACAGATGCCATGTCATGGGGACCGGTTTGTTGCTGGTGTGTCAGAAGCGACTCCGGAGGACGAAGCCCTCCCCGACGCAGTCGCGGGGCGACGACTTGTGGCCGCTCGTGATCACCATCGACAGAGCCCGCGGCGAACACTGACATAGCTACTGCCGCAGGCTCCACTGGCGCAGGTGTGGGCGCAGATGTGAGGGTGTGCCATAGCTGCGAGGAACTGGGACTGCGAGAGGTGGGGGCAGTGCTAGTAGGCTCCTCGACAGCGATGGACGATGACGGCGCGTTACCGCCAGTGCTTCCTGATGACGACGGCAGAGAGCGACGACGCGTGCTCGACCAGGGTAGAATCCCATAGGTGTGCAAGCCTTCCGGCAAAGTGGAATCGGGCGAGCGACGCATACCAAAGGCACTCAATCTCCCGCCCACATCGGCGGAAGAATCCGCACGGGGACCGTCTTCTTGTGCGTTGTTGTTCCTAATGGCTGACCGGCGGCGCGAGGTGAATTCACTGAAGTCCATAGTGCGGGTTCTATATGGACGTCGGACGGAAGACTGACGCGAAAGAGACGAGCCAGATCCGCTTGCACCCGAGTGCCAGATAGACCGGCCTGATGGCGGCGACTGGGCACGCGGGCTGTTGAGTACCCATGGGGCACCAGATGGCTCCGCTGGACCTGCAGGCGGAGGAGAGGCAGGGGGCGCGACTCCCGAATCGGCACGACGAGAGATTGACCCAGGAAGATCATAAGTTGACGGGAAGTACGCGTCGTATAGGTCTGTATTGATCCGCGCTCCTTCGATGGGGCCGGGTGGATTAACCACGGTGCCGTATTCCTCTTCCCCGTCGGATTCTGAGAGGATGTCATGGAAGGTGCTGTAAGAGCGCGGGGGTAGGATCGGGATGCTCCTTCGAGTGTGCCGTTCCCTGACCCCAGCCTGACCGCCACGGTAGACGTGTAATGGGGCCGCCTGCATACGGAGGGATTTGGCAGTCTTTTCAGATATGAGACGGCGGTCAACGGGGTTTGGCCTCGTTCGACGCTCCGCCATTTCCTGATAGCAAAGCGTGAGATACCCGGGGATCGACCACATTGAATCAAATGTGCGTACTTTGACCAGAACGTCGATAAGCGAGGTCGTGAAGGAGTCTCCCTCATCCAGCTCCTCAACGAAGGTCTCGTACGAAATTGTGGGCCCTTCTTTCTCGGCGTTCATGCGCTTGACAGCGCCTTGACTGGGAAGTTGGTCAGCTGGGAGAACATGGACTATGGGGAACGGTACTCACACCATGTTTTTTATCTTGCCCCGAAGGACCTCATCGTGATGTTCTAAAGTCCTGTATACGGAAGAGGCACTAAGCAAGTCGGCGGGAGTTTCGCAGCAGCAGGACCAACCATTTGCCCATTGTGTGCTGAGATGGTGGCAGTGGTCAGAGTGCGGGATCCGGTGGCGTTACGGCGGTGAGAAAGGATAAGGTGCGCTTTTCTCGTACGTTGATTGGCTCCACGCCCCCTTGGTAATATTTTTGATCAATAAGGCCCCTTATCCAGCTCATTGTCTGGCGGCCACACGCAGCGCGGTGCCGCACGCTTCTTGTCCCGAACCGTCACCACCTCTTTCGGCGACTCATCTCTGCAGTCATCCAGCCATCTCGCATTGATTTGCGTAGTGGTAGGTGTAACTCCGTACATTTTCGCTCGTGATAATGAACCGCAGCAGACGTCAGCGAACACATTGTTCACTCCGACTTTGGAAGAGCCAGTCGCACCAGTCATCCCTGCTCCCATTCCCCGCTCATTCTCTTGCTCGTCGACCCCCGTCGAACCCATAGCCCACACTTGCCATGGCCTACTCTCAGCCGTTCCCCCTCGCGCAACCCGTGCAGAAAGTGCAACAGCCGACTTTCGGCCCGGACCTTGCAGTCCGTCTCATCTGCCCTGAATGCAGGGACCCGAACCCGAACATTGTCGAGGAGTTCAGCAGCGGAGATCTTGTCTGTGGCACTTGTGGGCTAATTTTGGGCGACCGGATCGTCGATACAAGGAGTGAGTGGCGGGTAAGTCGTTTCTCTCCTCTCAGATCCCTGATTCAACGAGTGGACTGGCTCTCCTCATCTCGTATCTAGACGTTTGCCAACGATGAGGGCGATGATCCCTCGCGTGTCGGTGCTGCCTCGGACCCTCTCATGGATGGCATCGAGCAACTGGACACGACCATCTCGTTCAGAGACGGCGGCTCGGGGATCGCGCGCGAGCTGCAGCGCGCAGCGTCTCGGTCAGCCGCCTCTCGCTCGGAGCGGAACCTACTTCAGGCGTTTCGCGATATTTCTAGCTGGTGTGACCAGTTCTCCCTCCCCAAAACCATCTGCGATATCGCGAAGCAGCTCTACAAGCGTTCAG